GCCCTATGGTCATTAACTGGCGAAGTGAGGACTTCAATTCCTTGCTCATTGCAGAACGTTTTAACTTCCTTAGACATAAAGTTTGTTCCCTGGTCAACTCTAATTTGGCGCGGAACTCCATGGGCAGTAATGTACATTGTTAAAAATTTGATAATTTTATCCGAGCGGTTCGAATTACAGACCATAGCTGATGGCCATCGTGAGAACCGGTCCACCGCCACCAAAACATACTTCTTAGATTCCTTCAAATAGTTAATGGGTCCCCAAAAATCTAATTGGATTGATTCATTCGGTTCTTTTGGTTCAGGTATTTTCCCTATATCATCCTTCGAACACATGTTTTTCAAGTTCTTACCCGCTAATGTGCATTCCGGACAATTCCCAGCAATAGTTGCTAAACTACGAAACATGTATGGGTACCAGATGTCCTTAGCTGCGTCGATCATACTGGATTTTCCGTGGTGATAGTAATGAAGTCTGTTTACCACCGCCGTCTGCAATGTATTCGGAATCACTAGCCTTTCGTCCATCCACAGGCATCCGTCTCTTACGTGGAAATCCTGAGTATACTGTGCAAAGTACTTACTCATTGCTTCAATCTTCGAGTGTAACTGAGGGTCTTTACATTTAATTAACTCGATAATGGCTTGTAACTGTGGATCAGATTGATATTGTGATTCTATAAATCGAAGATTAAATAATTCGGGAAGAGCGGAATGTTTACTGACTATTTTACAATTTCTTGGAATAATAGACATAACTTTGTTTTCCGGATTAACCGGCGGATAACTTTCACCAGGGTAAACCGACGGAATAGAAATGATGGTGTTTGTTTTAGTGCTCCGGACTTCTGTTGTTATCGCCTGTATATCTACGTCAATCTCCTCAATTTCATCACTACTGCTAATGCTAGTGTGTCGTTCCAATAATTTCTTGATCTTCCTTTCCATGATTAAATTGCTTGAATTGTTATTGTTTATTAACGAATTTAAAGATTTAGAGTAACCAACGTTAGCTTCAATAATAATCCCAACTGAATTTTCGCTAAACTCAGTTGACCTGCCGGAAATGCAATTCGTCGCTCTGTGATTGGTCCATTTTCCGTCGCATGATCGCTCGCCCTCTACCGGTCGTTTTCTATTCGATATATTACAAACGCGTTTATTTTTAGTAACCGATGGAGACTCGAGTCTATTTTTGGAGAAAGTTCTATTTCTAAATCCGAGGGCGGATCTAATTCTACTAATTTTCGCCACCGTAAACATACTATCGTAGGTGCTAATTGGTTGAGGGTCTAAGCTCGGGTGCCTTGAGAGATAATCCGCGAGTCCTATTTTTGCTCCGGGTTTATGTTCCACTTGAAAATCGAACGGTATAAGGCGATCTAACCATCTTGTTAATCTGCTGAACATTGTTTTGTTCTTTTTATTGTTCCCATTTAGCAATGACACTAGTGCCTTGTGATCCGTAACTATTAAAAATTTCCTTCCCAGCACATAATTGCGGAAATATTCGGCCCCCCACACAACTGCTAACATTTCCAATTCATTCGTTGAGTAATTCTTCTCTGCTGCGTTTAGATACCGGGATGCGAATGATATCGGCCGCCAACCGTCGGCATTTAGTTGCTCAAGAACCGCTCCGAGCCCATTATGACTAGCGTCACATACAATTCTTGTGTCCCGGTGTATATCAAAATGCCGAAGTTCTACTATATTGGCCACTTGCTTTTTCAGGCTCTCGAATGATATTTGACATTCCTCGCTCCAGATGTAATCGTTTTTCCGTCTTAATAATGGGCGTAGTGACGCTGATGATTCCGCGAGCGCCGGAAGATATTTGTGCAAGCTGTGAATGGAGCCCATGAATGATTTAGGTTGTGACACCGTTTTTGGCGCTTTCAGCGATTCGATCGGTTCCGTTTTTCGGACAAGCGGTGTTATCCCCGTACGGGTTATTTTGTGCGCCAACCACTCACATTCCCCCCGCGCAAATTGGCATTTTGTGAGTTTAAGTGACATATTCTCGCGATCCAGCTTCCGCAAAATTTTCTCGACTGTTGAGATATGCTCGATCTCCGTGCCTTTGGTGACCACCAATATGTCATCAATAAATGCATGTGCCTGCGGAAATTCCGGAAGAATCGTATCCATTACTCGTTGAAATTCCGCCGGCATGGTAGTAAGACCGTAGAACCCCGTACGAAATCGATACGTACCCGTTGATTTTCCTCCCACTAGCGAAAAATTGCATTGAACGCTCGTTTCCGGACTAAGTGGTAATTGACCGTACGCGTACGTAAGATCCATAGTAGAAAAATATACATCCCCTGGTTTCCGTTCGCTTATCGTTTGTCCTACCGTATCCATAAGTTCCTCAATATTTGGCATTTGGTATTTGTTTTTGTGGACTTGCTTGTTCAACTCCCGTGATTCTAGCGCTAATTTTACCGATCCGTCCTTTTTCACCGTTATTACAATCGGAGAAACAAAATATTTATCCGAGCATTCAGTCAGTTTTTCAATGTGTCCTTGTCGCAAAAGTTTATCAATTTCCTTATCAACCTTTTCTTGCAATGTGATTGGCACCCTACGTCCTTTCTGTTGAATTGGTGTTAACTTTTCAAAAAAATCCGCGTGTACCTTATAATTCTTAATTTTCCCGACTCTGTTAAAAAGGTTTTCAAACTGCTTACTGAAATAAATCTGCCAGTTGTCTAGTGAGTCCTCCACGTCCGTCGCTTCAGCTGTGGCTTGGTCGCTCTTTACCGACATCACATTTCCCTCCGGTGCCTTCTGCACAATCTGTAATCCAAGATTTGGCATTAGGTCTCTTCCAATAATTGATGGTCTGCTTCCTCCAATCACTCTGATGTTTGCGTTGGTCACCCATCCGTTCGTTTCCAGCAGTACGTCCATCGTTCCTAGTAGTCGTAGGGAGTTGTTTCCGTAATCCCTGAACTCCTCGTCCTCCGGTGCTGGTGCCTTCACCTTGACGCCTGCGGTACCCAACGTTCGTTTTAATTCTCCAATAGTGAATATCGAAATCGGTGATCCACTGTCTATCCAAACGTTCGTTTGTTTTCCATTTACTTTAATCGGCAGTCGTGCACCGGCCACTTTTAGCTCGGTTTCCGTCCGAGATCTGATTGCCATGACAACATAATCTCCTGAGCTATCCGAGTCCCACGATCGCTGCTTCTTGGCCGGTGTATTGACCCAGCCGACGGAATTCTCATGCTGAGAATATGTATCCTCCGCGTCACCTATTTCGGTAGTTCCCATCTCTTCCTGATTTTGGATCAGTCCCACTGCCGGTCTTCCCTGATTATTTCGCTTCCCCCTACAAGTCCTCTCGTAGTGTCCCGTCTTTCTGCAGAAATTGCACGTTGCATTTTTCGCTGGACACGTTGTGAGATGTTCCGGAGTAAAATTTGGTTGGTCACAGTTATAGCATCTTCTGAGACCACCCCCTCTCATTCCTGCTCGCCCCCTGAATGATCCACGGCCCCGCAATCTGTTGTTTCTGTAACCTCCTCGAATGGCCCCCACTGGTTCCGTCTTGATTTGGAATGCTCCAGCTCCACCGGTAGTGCCACTGGTTCCTCCCCCGGTTATCGATCCATATGACTTTGCATATTTATATCCGCGTTCGTATGACAGTGCAATACGGTACACCTCCTCTGGCGTCTTCGTCGGGCGGCATAACTCATTTTGGGCCTCCCTATTGTTCATGTTGACGATGAACACATCCCGCAAAATCCTGGTCTCCAATGCTCCAAAATTACTTCTAGCGGCCAACCCGCTCAACACTGAGTGGAACTGTTCTAGCGATTCTCCTATTTGTTGCTTCCGTGCCAAGAGTTGGAATGTCTCGTACGTTTCGTTTCGTTCCTTTCTAAATTCGGTTTCAATGGTATCCAAAACTCGAGAATACCTTGTTGCAGATAAGTCCAGATGTGGTTTTCTCTTATGCAGCTCATCCTGTCCTTTCTCCCCCAGACACAAGTACAAGTTGGAGATAAGCACTTGTTCCGACGCTAGGCGATTCTTCCCGTCTACCTCCTCTGGTAAATCTGTAATCTGCGCTGCAGTTAACGTACTGGCATAATAGAAATTCCTAGGATTTAAACTGTGTTTTGCCACCATCCCCCATTGAAATCGATTGAACCAAAACTCCCATAGCATTGGTGGTTCTGCAAACGTCGAGGGCCAAAACGATGTAATTCCCAGTGGGTTTTTCCCCCCACTTTGGCCTGTTGGCTGCGCCATGTGAAAAGACGGTTTCGAAGTGTTAATTAAATTCCGTTTGTTAAGCAACCGTATTTCATAAAGTAAGTCGGAGACAATAGAATAGCTGTCATCCGAAGGTGACAGACACTCCGAAGGTTAAATACCGGTTAGCGCCAGACAGATGATTAAAATAGATAACACAACTCGAATTGAAACATGAACTAAATTTAGATACTATGACAGAATATTCTATAAAAATTGTTTAAGGAAAATTGTTCACCAGATTAGATTGTAAAAAAGTGAGAGACAATTTTAAGACTCAGAGACCACTCAAAACAAATCTGTAGATCCAATCATGATTGTACCAGGTAGTAAAAACTTTCGATAAATCTAAAAACAGATGCAGTGAAGACAAAACAAGGCGATGAAGTTTTTCCACGAATTAACTCATTTTGCTGTTTTGAGAAAAAAGGATATGAAGTCAAGTTGAAAATTCAGGTTTTTGCTTTAAAGGGAAGCTCTGTCTTACTTTTTTTTCAGCTGGAGATGATATTGTCAAAGCAGTTTCTCACAGCAACAGCGTGTATGGCAGCATTACAATGAAAGTTTTAAAAATGAATTAAACTTTGTGAACCAGGCGTTTCAATTCACAATGTAATTTTTTAATTAAAAAATGTTAAAATAAAATAAAGTGAAAATTGCTTCAAGTAATTGAGAGCCAATAACTTCAAATTCTCGTGAAATTAGAAATTTGGTTCAATGACTTACTTTTTATTCCGGTAATATAAGTACCAGCTTCCATCATCTGTTGCAGGATAAAAGTTTGTGAGAAGTGTAATTAATAAAAAGTAATGTTTTTCGCGCTGAAAGTAATCGACATGAATTGAATGAAATTTTCAAGTCAATTAGCAACTCTGTAACTGAAATTTGAGGAAAAATATATATTTCTTTCATAATCTGAATTTTTTTGATGCTCTGAGCTTAAAAAAACAAAAATGCTTCTTCATTTTTGGGCATGGCTCAAATTTATGGGGGTTTTTGAAAATGACAAACTGATCAATTCGTTTTAATGGTTTCGCTCGAAATTTCCAATTTTCTTTTAAGCGTTGGCGACTAGTTAAGGTGGCTCAGAAATCATTCCATCTTGAATTGGGACGAGATAATTGATCCCAATGGTAAAATAAAAAAAAATCATCATTTGGCTTTGACTTGAAAATGAGGGAAGATTTTACAAAATATCTTGTGAAATTTTTTTTCAAATCTTCACCAAATACTTCTTCAGTTATGCTGAATAGAATCCGGAATATCGATGTTCTCCCTGATACGAGCAGTCTTGTTTTAGTTTTGGGGTGCTTTGAATTTGTGATAGGTAAGGGTAAATGTGAAAAGCGTCCAAAAAGACCCAACTACTTGAAAACTTTTGGCTTTACGGCCGTTATGACTCGCTACAATGACATATGCAAGTGCTTTATTTTAAAACTGAAGCTTGAATTTAAGACATAGGTGGATCTCACTGGAAACTTAATTACCCACCTATTTGTTGATAAAAGACTGTAGAATGGAGTAACATCAGGAAACAAGACTGCTCGTATCAGGGCGAGGCCCCGAATGCTCCGACTGCCTCTTGAGGTCTATGGAGCAGTAATAACATGAAAAAATTGAATGTAAAAAAAAATAAAATAACTTTTTTTAATTTTAGATTTTTGCAAAAATCATCCCCCATACGCCATATAGAGTAAAAAGTGATAGATTTTGCTCCTCGTAACAACTCAATTGTGGCAAATAAGTTTCCTTCTACCAATTCGGAACGATTTCTAAGACGGATTAAATCTCCGCTTACGCGTTAAAAGCGCGAAATATATCGCGCGTTAATTGTACCAAATTTGGCCAAAATTGCTGTCTTTAAACCCCCATAATTTTGAAAAAAGGATCAAAGGTGAAATATTTTTTCAAATTTAAGCTCAGGACAACAATATCTTTTGAATGATGTAGAAAATCCCATCAAAAATGGCTAGTTAAAAAGTCGAACCCACCCCGAGCACAAGTATTCCTTTACTTTTGGCAGGAAAATTGGAACAAAAAAACTCCATAGTAAAATTTTGACTAAACAATTAATTCATGATGGCAAAGTTTTTAACTTTGGACATTGTATTTGTTATATTTGTTATTTGCTATTGCGAGAAGAGCGCAATAAATAAGTAAGCTCGAACAACTCTTTTTTTCCTAAAAATTTATTTTGCAAAGCTCTGATCTAAAACTTTTGATTTGGGCCCATACATTTAACCGATATAATGAGTAGTGACACAAACTAAAGTTTACCTTTTTTTTGTTTAATTTCAATGCTTACCATAAACAGTGCTAATTTTAGTTACCAGGAAAAAATCAATCGGAAAAAATGATGAGATAAGTTTTGCTTAGAGTTTTACCATAAACAAATCAGAGGCCCAAAAATTTAACCGGAAAAAAGAATAATTGGCACCTTTTAATCAATGAAAAATGACGCTAAAACTATCAGTTAATTTACTGTCAAAATTATATCAAAATGAGCCGCTCATCTACCTCAACAAAATAAAGAAAAGTAAAAACTCAAAAAAAATAAGCAAACAGTTTGAAAATTGTTTTTTGAAGAGCAAGTGGCTTTATAGACAGGGGCGGATCTAGGGTTTTCTCGAAGGGGGTGCAGATTTTTTTAAAAAAATTTCGAAAATTTTGTCGGCTTTTTTTAGGTCGACCAAATTGATTTTCCGAGCTCTCTTAAAGCATTAAAAAGATCCTGTTTTGGTATAATTTTCCACGCCGCAGGAAAAATTTCGCAGAAAACAGGTTGAAAGAAAAACCCAAGCTCGTCCCCAGAAATTAGTATATTTGGCTTTAGAAAAACTTTTGGGTCCGTTAACCAAAAATGGATATCCCAAAATAGTACAATGGGGGACCTTTGGGTAGGCAGGAGGTCAAATACCTGAGGGGGGGGGCTCATTCTATCCGGCTTTGTTGCCGACCAAACAGAAAGAAAGTGAAATGAAAAAAAGCAGATTGTGAAAAGCAGAGTTATTCGAGGCTTTTTTTGCAGCCGTCATTATTTGAATCTAGCTAAAAAATAAAAAAAGTTGCCCCAATATCACGATAAAAAAACGGATTTCGTTGGATTAGAAAATAATAAAACACATCAAATGATGTCCAAAAAAATGTCGAGTAAAAAAGCTTTGCCTTAGAATCAAGAATAGGAAAAACTCTTTGTATCGATGAATTTCTTGATGACTTTATAGAAATGAAAGCCACACCACATTTTGTCTGCCAAAAATTCAATACCAGAAGCTCAACGCAATGCAAAAAAGTCGCCGAAGAAAAAACAGAACAAGACTACTCGTATCAGGGCGAGACCCTAAGTGTTTCGAATGCCTTTTAAGGTCTATGTAGCAGTAATAATTAAAAGTAAAAAATTGAAATTATTTTTTTTTCAATTTAAGTTTTTTGCAAAATTCATCCCCCACACGCCATATAAAGTACAAAGTGATAGATTTCGCTCCGAGTATTAAATCAATTATGGCAAATAGGCTTCCTTCTAACAATTTGGAAGGCTTTCTAAGACGGGTTGAATCTCCGCTTACGCGTTAATAGTGCGAAATACATCGCGCGTTAATTATCCCAAATAGGCCAAAATGGCCATCTTTAAACCCACATAACTTTACGAAAAACGGTCAAAGGTAAAACTTCTTTTCAAGTTTAAGCTCAGGACAACAATATTTTTTGAATGATATCAAAAATATTCCGTCAAAAACTGCTAGTTAAAAAGTCGAAATTTGTTTGAAGAAAAAACCTACCCCGAGCAAAATAAATATTCCGTTACTTTCATTACAAAAGTAGAGGAAAAGCAACTGTCAAAAGACAGTTAGTTAGCAGATCGATCACAAACAGTTCCGGTTCCAGTCAAATAAATAAAATATCGTTTTTTTCCAGGCGGTTGATTTCATTTAAATTGTGTCCAGCTTGTTGTTGGGCAACTAAATTAACATTCTCCTGTCAGTCGGAACTAATAGCCACAACAAAAGAAAAAAATCTCAGTTTGAACTGAAGCTACAGAAAGAAGAGAAGCCTCAGGCTTTAGAATTGAGAATTAGAAAAAAAACTCAGTTCAAATCCATTTTCCCTTCTTCAAATTCATTTAACTTGAAAGGCCGTCTCAGACTAAGTGAAATGTCGGCCGAATATTCGTTTTTTTTTCAGTTTTCCGAATCAGAAACCCGATAGTTTTTTTTTGTAGTGCTGTGATATCGAAATTGGAAGAACAACAGAAATCAGAATCGCATGTAGCTTTTCCGGATCAATCGTAAAATCTCCAGTCCCATACCCCCCACCCCCCAACCAACCCCCCCCCCCCCCCTAAGTAGTGACCGACCGTAGAATCTCGACCTATCCGCTCCCCCTATAGCAATGTACATATTTTGAAATTCAAATTTGTTTGAAATAAGCATTTCAAGCAAAACAGAACAGATAAATTGTGGCTTCCTAATATTTAATGAGGTTACTGCAGCGGCCGGTTTAGGGGGGATAGCACACGCCCTTTTCTCAGGGATTCGACTCTGGTATTATTTTATGACATCCATTTTTGACCAACCAACCCTAAAGTTTTTCAAAATATATATCTTTGGCGACAATATATACTAATTTTGAAGTGGAGTGCTCGCCGAAAAACGCAACTTTTTTGTCACAATTTTCTAAAAAGTGCCAAAAAACTGATCTTTTGACCTGTTTTTTTTTCGAAAAATTGCCTGCGGCGTAAATTTTTTTGCAAAAATAAGGTATTTGTAGCTTTCTGGGATCGTTCGGAATATCAATTCGGTCGACTATAAAAAAAATGACAAAACTTTGAAAATCCGCGCCCTCGAGAAAATCTTAGAAACAGCCTCTGGTTTACTGTTTACTGGTGGTTTTAGGGGGTAGGGGGCGGGAGGCTAACGCTCTCACCCTTAGGGAATCGACTTACTCACCAACTTAAGGGTCCCCCCTTTGGTATTATTTTATGGCATCCATTTTAGGCGGCCAACCCTGAATTTTTTAAATATCTTTGTTTTTGAAGGGGAGCGCGCGTCAAAAAAATGCAATTTTCAGTTAATAGTTTTCAAAAAAGTTTCCAAAAAGGGCAATTTTGACCTGTTTATTAAATAATTTGCCAACAGCGCTGAATAATTAGGTCTTTATAATTTTTTGAGCTTGCTTGGTATATCAAACTAGTCGACCTATAAATCCGCCGACCCTCGCCCCCCTTCCCCTGAGAAAGTGCTAGATCCTTGATCAACCAAATTAAAATGGTTTGAGTTTTAAAAAAACAGTTAATGGGATCAAAGTAAGCTATTTTCAACTTTAATTCCTAAAAAGCCGTAATTTCTTAGCTAAATCGATAGGAGCGATCAACTATGAAGATTAAATGAGCCATAAAAACGCGATTTTAATGTCAAAGTTTTCCAGAAAGTGCCTAAAAACTACTGTTTTGGCCTTTTTTTTTTGCAGCGCAAAAAATTTGGTAAAAATGGGGTCTTTTTAGTGATTTTGGAGATTTGGGCCCATACATTTAACCGATATAATGAGTGGTGACACAAACTAAAGTTTACTTTTTTTTGTTTATTTTCACTGCTTACCATAAACACTGCTGATTTTAGTTATTCGGAAAAAAATAATCGGAAAAAATGATGACATAAGTTTTGCTGAGATTTTAAACATAAGCAATTCAGGGGCCCAAAAATTTAACCAGAAAAAGGGATAATTTTGGCTCCTTTTAATCAATGAAAAAATACGCCAAAACTATCAGTTAACTGACTGACAAAATTATGTAACGGATTATTAATGCTCGAGGTGGGTTTTTTTTTCTTCAGACAATCTTCGACTTTTGAACTAGCCATTTTTAACGGAGTTTTTTATATCATTCAAAGCTAATGTTGTTCTGAGGTTAAATTTGAAGAGATATTTTACCTATGATCCTTGTTTGTAAAGTATAGGGGATTTAAAGATTGCCATTTTGACCAATTTGGGACAATTAACGTGCGATATATTTTGCGCTTTAACGCGTGAGTGGAGATTTAATCCGTCCCAGCAACTGTTCCAAATTGGTTGTAGGAAGCTTATTTGCCCTTAATGATTTGTTACTAGGAGCGAAACCTAACAAAACCCTTAGCGTAGGGGGAAAACTTTCAAAAATTATCAACTAAAAATGTTTCACCTTTTTTTTGGAATTTTGTCCAGTTTTTTAAAGCGAAAACTTTTTCTGCAGAGTATTAAGTGCATTCAGGACTGAGAAATTTTCAGGACAGAGTCCTCGTACGACCATTTTCGTTGTTCCGACTTTTGTAACGGAAGTAACGGAATAATTGTGCTCGGGGTGGTTTTTTTTCTTCAGACAAATTACGTTTTTTTAACTAGACATTTTTGATGAATTTTAAAAATAACATTCAAACGTTATTGTTGTTTTGAAATATAATTTGATTTTTATTTATCTGTGATAATTTTTTGTAAGGAAAAGGGGAATTAAAGATTGCCATGTTGGCCAATTTGGGACAATTAACGAGTGACAAAATTCGCGGTATCAAAGCGGAAGCGAGGTTTAATCCATCTTAGAAATCGTTTCAAATTGGTTCAAGGAAGCTTATATGCCATAATTGTTTTGTTAATGGGAGAAAAATTTATCATTTTGTTCTTAATTTGACGTGTGGGGTGATGTTTTCACAAAAAATCTCAATTTTTTTTAAATTTAATTTTTCAATTTTATTTTATTACTTTTCATTTTTTCATGTTATTACTGCTCCATAGACCTTAAAAGTCGATCAGAACATTCAGTGCTTCGCCCTGATACGAGTTGTCTTGTTTCAATATCAAACCCAAATAAACTTTTGAAAATCGTGAAAATACTCATTCTTTTCGGCTTTATTGCCGATCAAACAGAGAGCAAGTGAAATAAAAAAAACAGTTTGTAAAAAACGAAAAATTTTCCGAGGCTTTTGGATTTTTTTTATAACAGCCGTCATGGCTAGAATTTTTTGTGACCTTAGTTAAAAAAGGTTGCGATAATATCACAAAAAGACGGATTTTTTTGGATTAGACCATAATAAACACACCAAATGAGGTCCAAAAACACGTCGAGGAAAAAAGTTTTGCCTTAGAATCAAGAATTGGAAAATTTCTTTGTATTGATTACTTTTAACCATGCCTTTATACAAATGAAGGCCACCACCACTTTTTATCTGCCAAAAATTCGATACGACAAACTCAACGCAATGCAAAAAATTGCTGAAAAGAAAACGGAAATATTGGAGCGAAGGGGCAATTAGAACAGCGAACGATTATTAAATACATTTTTTAGGCCTCGACTAGTGCCATTTATGCAACAGTACTCTAAAATTTGTACTTTTCTGTGAGACAAGGCAGTTCTTCATACTGCCGGCCCAAGTGAAGAACACTTGCAACGAAAACAAATTGAAATGCCAAATGGCCTCCTAACGCATCCGATTTAACGCATAATCAGTTTTGATCAAATAATTTTCATTAACTTTGATCAATTCAGAAAAATGTTGACGAATTAAACAAAATTTATGCATGACTGTTCTGTTATTAAAATTTTTATTGAGTCGATGCCCTGTCGGTTCTAGAGTTGTAGACGTCCAACGAATCCTACCCACTACTAGCAGCCAGAACTGAAATTACATATAAATAATTTCAAAAGAATTCACTTGCGTTGAATTTTGTCCACCAGTGTTGCACAAAAATACCCAAATAGCAAAAACGAGCTGTTTTTTGAATTGTTGAAGATTTGTACACTGTTGTAATTACAATTCGTCGTCTATTTTTTTTACCCGGCGAAATGATAAAATAGAATGCAAATATAGCAGCGAACTTACCAGTTATCCATGTGTGAAATAACTAATTTGCTGGATGAGGAAACTTTTTTTCATACCAATTACGATAAGTACACAACAGCTGGAAAAAACCCATGATTTGCTGTGTATCAGTATATGTAAATATGAAATAGAACAACCCTTTAGCTCTTATCATCTGAGCAATAACAAAGTATCAAAAGAACTTAGTATCCAAATTGCATTAGGAAATGAAGCCTTTTTTCATCAATCACAACTATGGGTAACTGGAATCATGCATGTGAAAAGAATAAGAATAACTGCTTGGGGCTTTTGTGTTGTTATGATTTCGTTCTGAGATTTTATGGGATAAATTGAAAAAGTCTGACAATATTATGAGGAGATTTGTTTGAGTGTTACTGCTATTACAATAAAAACAGGAAAAATAGGAAATGTTTCTTCGGCAAATTCAGAGCAAAAAATCAATTAGATGTCAATTTTGTTAACATGTGTTCAGTGGTTTGTCTTTCAAATTTTTAAGCCTGGTACAAAAAGGATTTCAGAATATCCCGGCGGGTTGTTTTAGTGTTGGAAAAGAGGGAAAAATTAAAGCCTTAAGCCAGTCAGAAAGAGGGTAAATTTAGTATAAATGATGATCAAAAAGTATATAAATACACTCGAGTTTTGTTCAGTTGTTCAACCATTCAGTTTCAACGAAAATTGAGCACTCAGAATGAAAAAAGAAAAAGACATGAGCAAATAATGAACTTGCAATTTGTTCAAATTAGATCACAAAAATTTAATTAAGTCTCCTTGTGACGATGCTTTCCTCATCTAGTGGACTCTCGTACAGGGAAAAACACGCGTAGCAATTGGATGAAATCTTGATTTTCCGAAAAAATGGGAGGACAAAAATCATGAAAATTATTGATTTTGAATTGCATATAGTAAGTTTGCATCCATCCCTATATTTAAACTACAATTTATTTTTAACAATTGTGATTATCTGATTTTTACTACTAGTGCTTCAAAAGCTTAAAATTCTTAAGATTCAAAAATCAAAGACGCGATCAATGAAAAAGAGTCAAGTAGGAAAAAAATACAGTTATTTTTGATATCTTAGGATTCGGGATAAATTAGGGATATATTAACTTTCCCTTCAGAAAATAAAAGAGCATAAATTCGCTTGTCTGAAAGGAAATCAAGCGGGAAGATGAATAGGTTACTGATGTCGCTATAAATTAGCTTTGAAACTGTCGCTTTTACTATTGGACCATACTGGTAGGGTCTTAGGCGGAATGGCAGCAGAGGGGATTGAGGAGATAGATTAATGGGGGGTTTGGGCCGATTCAGGAAAGGGAAAGTGCTTACTGATTCGAGCTGACCTAAAAAGGTTTAAAAGGATGACAAAAATAGTCTCATATATATGTGGTTAAAAATGTGGAATTTTCAATTGTTTCCTTTTGAATGTTTTAACTTTCAGAAACAGAGACAGAAAATTTATGCTTAGGGTAGTTTCTTTTATTCGGGCCAATTTTGACATTTTAATTAACTGTTTTTACCGGATTTTTTTTTCATACCATCCAGAATATATTTATGCCCTGAGCTCTAAATAAAAAAATTTATATTTCACCTGCAACCGTATTTCGTAGATTTAGGTGCTAAAAATTTGGGAAGTAAAAAGCGTGCTATTTATCAATCTTCTATTAACGTGTCGCGGAACCTTGGATGTTCTTACTGCCATCTAGCATCGATCAAAAACCTTTTGATTAAAAATTCTCCTTTGGCGTTAAATGAAGCTAAAAAAAATTATTACCTAATTTTATACCCTCACGCTATTTAAAAAACAAAACATTTTCATTTGGATCTGGTAGTTTGCCTCAAATCATACTGGATTTATTCACTTTGCCGCCATGCTGTAGTATGTCGAAATGTATTGGACTTGTATTTCGTTTCAGTATAATTAATAAGTTTAGCTTCAAAGCCCATAAACTCTCTACTAAACTATCGTTTTAAATTTGAGCCATGGGCAATAATATTTTTCAGAGCTTATTAATAAGTAAACCAGCCAAAATGAGCTAGTTAAAACAGCAAAGCTTAATTGGAGAAAAAAAAGACAGCTTAAGCACAATTATTTGGTCATTCCATACAAAAGACAGATCAAGAACAAATTCAAAACTTTCATATGATGCCTGAAAAAGCAGCAAAAAGCTTCACCCTGATACGAGCGGTCTTCTTAGTTTTTATGCGCACAATGCTTTTTGCGCCGATTGTAAGCACAGTATAGCAGGAGGTCGTTTTTGTCAATGTTTCCTTGATTGGGTTTTCGAAAATTTGAAAAACATGATGTTAAGTTTGTGCACGTTGTGGTTTTTTGGCAGCGAAGTTTAAACTTTTAACAAACTATTCTTAACGGAATTACTTTTAAAGTCTAAAAAATAAGGTTAAGAAAAGGAGGTAAATCAAAAACAAATTAAAGACAAGCTTTCCTTTGGAATGTCATTATGTCTATGGCCTAGTGATGTAACTTGAGCCGGATCTCTTTTACTAAATCCCCCCTCGGTTAGCTAGTAGAAAAATATCCCTTACATGAAATTAAATCAACGGTTGAGCATGTCAGAATTTTCAGCCTAGTAACGAATCTTCCGCTTTTGCAAAAGGGGGAATATAGTTAAAGAGATACCTTGAACCCTCCTTATAACTTTCAAACCAAATGAAAATTGATCAGACTGAGACGAGACACTTTGAATCAATCTCAGAAAACTTTTTCAATTAATTTGGAAAATCAAAAAAGAGAACGGACCATTTAGTTAAGATAAAATAATTCATGAAACTTTTAACCAAACTATTAAACTAGCTGGCGGTGAGAGTAGAAGAGACACTCAATGCCCTCAATCAGAAGAGAAAGTAAGCTGCAGCTTATAAAAAAGATACATAAAATTCGTTCAAACTACATGGAAACAAGTTTTTGATAGTTAATAATTAAAAGGTTTTTCTATGAATAACTAACAAGCCTGTCAAATTTTTTATTCACCTTTATTCCAGTACGAGTGATTTTGTTGAGCGAAGCTCTTTTTCGCTGCCCAGGGCTTTTTTGGAGTCTAAAAAAAACTTACATTGGTGCTCCATTGGTGATTTGTCTACAAAATTTAGATCTATTTTATTTATTTTGCTCAAATATCATTTTTTCAACAATTTCAGCTAATAAAAGTTCGCTTCGATTTGACTAGTTAAAACTAGCCGATTCAATTATTTTTTTCACAATTTTAATTTGGCTTATAAATAAACCAAACTCAACCTCAAATACAGAAGGTTATTTAAAGTTTTAACAATTATCTGATTTTTACTATTAGTGCTTCAAAACCTTAAAATTCTTAAGATTCAAAATCAAAGACACGATCAACGAAAAAGAGTCAGATAGGAAAAAAATGCTTACTGTTATTTTTGATATCTTAAGATTCGGGGTAAATAAAGGATATATTAGCTATCCCTTCAGAAAATAAAAGAGCATAAATTGACTTGTCTGAAAGTGAACCAAGCGGGAAGATGAATGGGTTACTGATGTCGCTACAAATTAGCTTTGAAACTGTCGATTTTACAATGGACCGAGCTGGTAGGGTCTTTGGCGGAATGGTAGCATAGGGGATTGAGGAGATAGGTTTATGGCGGTGATTTGCAGCCTCCTTCAGGAAATGGAAAGTGCTTACTGATTCGAGTTGACCTAAAAATTTCTTTAAAAGGATGGCAAAACAGTCTCGTTTATGTGGTTAAATTTTTGGAAGACTCAGTTGTTTCCCATCATGTTTTAACTTTCGAAAAAAAGAGGGAAAATTTATGCTTACTTTAGTTTTTTTTTAATGAGGCGAGTTTTGATATTTTAATGAACCGTTTTTGACGGATTTTTTGTTCATACCATTCGAAAGATTTTTATGCCCTGTGCTCTAAATAAAAAATATATATATGATTTTACCTGCTACCGTGTTTCGTAGAGCTAGGTGCTAAAACCTTGGGATGTAAAAAGCGTGCTGTTTATCATTTTTTGAACGCGTTGCAGAGCCTTGAAAGTTCTTACTACCATCTAGCATCGATCAAAAGTTTTGTGATTAAAAATTCACCTTTGGCGTTTAACGAAGCTCAAAAAAATTAAAATTTTGAATTTTAGGAAATTTTATTTCCTAATTGTACACCCTCCCGCTATTCAAAAAGCAAAATGATTTTGTTTGGATCTGGTAGATTGCCTCAAATCACACTGGATTGACTCAATTTGGCGCCATGCTGTGCTTCACATTTTGTCAATTTCATCTAATATTTGTATCAGCTGGAAGTTTTGATTGAAAATAGCTTGAACATGTTGCTTAAATTGAATACATATTATTAGCCAATCAAATTTGACCGCTTAAAATTTAGCTCAAAATATAAAAATTTTGGTTTTGGGCTGTTTTGTGCATAAGACCCTCGATTTCTTTGAATTACTGAAAAAAAATTTCCTTTCAACAGCTGTTCAAAAATTTGATCCGTATAAAAAAAACATATCGAAAGACAAAGAAGCAAAAAAGTGAATCGTGGGCTCAGGGTTCTGAAATAAGACATTCGATAATTTTATAGTAGACCTAAAAATGAACTAAATTCGGGCTTTGCAAAAAACCAAAGTCAAATGTTACTTTACCACAAAAGAACCAAGCTTACCTTCTTTTGACATAAAAGACCACACATTTAACACGCTGAGTAAAATTAACTTCAAGTCTATGTAAGTTTTGTCATATATAAAATTTTGCGAACATTTTAATTTTTATCCAGACTCACTAATTTGATGAAACATAAAAGCAAAAAATTCAAAGAGCTGCGAAAACGAACTGCAAAGTAAAATAGAACCGCGAAGCAGATTTTTGCTGTGCTGTTAATTGAAGTGGTCAAATAATTATTAATCACAGCCAGGTGGTGAAAACCGGTATCATAAGAGTAAGTAATAAAAAATAAGACCATTC